GTTACAAAACTTCTACCTTTACAGTTGTGACCTTTGAAATTAGTCATGATAACAATTACTTACTATTGAATCAAAAGAATCTGATCCCCATCTCCTTTCATTAGACCCATCTAGACAAGAAGAAAACTATTCAGTAGAGAGTCTACCTTCCCTGGCACACACTGAAACTAAACTCCCTCTTGAAAACTTGTAAGCTAGTGACTTTATGCTTTTATACTCCCCCACCCCCACCCCCCATTTTAGGTAGCCAATGTCTAAGTTGCCTGTCACAGCCTGCTTTTTAGTGATATTTTCAACAGGTTAAAAACCTTTCAACAATATACTTTATTTCTCTCTTCTTGATTTTGTAAGATTGTTGTCATGCATTTTGCTCAAAACTCTCAAAATATATTTTCATTAATTTTGCTTTAGTAAACTATGTTTTAAAAAATTTAGATGTATTTCACAAATCATAAAGTTTACTCTTTAAAGTATGCAGTTCAGTGTTTTTTAGTGTATACAGAGTGGTACACTAACTACTATCTAATACCAGAATATTTCATCACCCCCAAAGTAAAGTTTGTAATTCCCCATCCTCCAATTTTCTTAGCTCCTAGCAACCTCTGATTTACTTTCTGTCCTTGGAAACTGGTATATTCTGGACATTTCATTAAATTGAATCGTATAACGTGGCCTTTTGTGACTGGGTTCTTTGACTTACCATAATGATTTCAAGGTTCACCTATTTATATCATTTCACAATTCCTTTTTATGATTGAGTAATATTCTATTCTGTCACATTTTATTTATCTATTCTTTTGCTGATTATCAATTGGGTTGTTCCCACCTTTTGATTATGAACATTCATTCATATACATGTTTTTCTGTAGACATATTTTCAATTCTCTTGTGTGTATCCCTAAAAGTGGAGGTTTTGGGTCATACGTTAATTCAATTTTGAACCTTTTGTGGAACTGCCAAACTGTATCCCAAAGTGTCTGCACCATTTTCATTTCCAGCAGCAATGTGTTGTTTTTGTTGTTAAATGCTGTTGAGTCAGTTCTGACTCATAGTGATCCTGTATAGGGTTTCTGAGCAGTAGCTGGTGGGTTTGAACCACTGATTTTGTGGATAGCAGTCTACTGCTTATCCCACAACACCACA